TCTGCACAGTAGAGCACAACAGCCGGAAAGAAAACTGACAGCAAGCACTGCTGATTACTCTACTGAGGTCTGTTTATTTCCATATTAAATAAAAGCACAGCTGTTCTTTTTTAATATAGATGTAAATTCATCATATAGGCTTTAGCATCCTATCAAAATTTGTTTAGTCTATTTAAATATGCAGCCCACATTAAAGTATTCTTGTGATCCTGCCATGACGATCCTTGTTCAGGTACTTCCTTTTAGCAGGTGACAACTGTCTCCCAAATCTGCGCCTGCATTCTCACTGTCATATGTGCTCCTGATACAGAGTACAAGAGGTGTGCTGACACACATTGTGCAGATATGACCCCCCCCCCCCCCATTGCCGTCACTATCAAGAAGCTTTTATGGAGCAATGATGTGTATCTGATGCTGGAGTGCGTGCATGTGGAATTGGGTTGAAAAAAACCCATTGAGATACAAAAATGTCAATCACATCACATGGAAAATTAAATATCATCCAGATAAGGTTTCAACCTACTTTTAATGTTTGGATAACAGGTTCTTCTACTGTAATTTTTTTAAAATTTGCTGCTTTGTCCAAAGTTTTTTTTTTGTAGCAGTCATGGTGTCAGAGGGAAATTATTTTTGAATTGTGGTTTTGATATCATTATGCTGTCCTGCTGATAGAATAAACACATTTTTAAAACATCTTACTGTGAATGTTCCCTTTTTCATCTTTATACAGACTATAAAATAGTAAGGTCATTATGTGTAAAGGACACTGGTCAAGAATGTGCATTAGTAAGAATTTGAATCTTCATCCTGAATTGTTATAATAATGTTCCTTACCTATTAGGAGGTAGGTGCGTGGTGTTATTCCATTGCGTTTTCTCCCTGTCAGAGCAGAAATGTCAAGTTGTAAGACACCCCCTTCCACACCGGAGTGGAGGCTGATCTGTCTCCTGCCTGAGCTCAGGGTTGATGACTGTCCAGACTCGTAGAGATGTCCTTTCAATGGCTTCCACATAGATCCCACCCAACCGCCTTCAGACCCATAATGTCGCAACTGTGGGACTCTGTGTACTACTTAGGCAACCTCATGTCCCCTTTCCTACACCTGCTCACTTTCAGAATAATCCTCTCTTCCCTCCAAGCCTCGAACAATCAAGGGCGTTTTGCTGGTGGACCTCGCATGGTTTCATACAGGTAAGCCACTTCCTAACAGCCTGTTCCATTCCTTCCTGGCCCACTATTCAAGAAACCTTTTAAGATGTGTCCTCAGAATTTTTCCTATACCTTCAGCTTTGCCACTGGCTGACCCCTCTCCAGTGCCCCAGGTACTCAGCTATTTACTCCTACCAGCTAGTTACTACCTTTTGCACCACTAGCCCCTCCCTCCTAGATTGTAAGCTCCGAGGAGCAGGGCCCTCCTAACCCTCTTGTATTGAACTGTATTGTCTCCCGTTATATTGTAAAGCACTGAGCAAACTGTTGGCGCCATATAAATCCTGTATAATAACAATAATATCGTCATAGGTAATATTTGGCTCAGACAGAAATTCCTCAAACTGTCCGTGGTTTAATGCATGAGCTCTAATGAAGGTAACACAAGATACCACAATTTTCATGATAGAGTCCCACTTCACTGACAACACAGTGCTTGTTGGTGGATGAGGCAGTGTATGACTATTGGATGTGAATGGTTGTGTTTGTCCATCTCTTGGTTAATGCATGCAACCACTCCATTCATGGACCCCACCATGCTAGAAGCACCATCAGTTGTTACATGGGCTAATTTAGCCCAGTCCAGCTCCAAATCATTCACAGTTTGGTGAACCTTTTCATAGATATCCTCTCCCATTGTTGTTCCTTTGATACTTTTCAGTGCAACAAGCTCCTTCTGACTTCAAAATAATCATTTGTCCCACAAATGAAAATTTGAGGTTGTGTAGAATCACAAACATCATTTCTTTCGTCAAGTGCTAACGAAAAAAATAGCAAAAGTTTTTTTGTTTTTTTTTTAAAAGTTTTGCAAATGCTGATGGAAATTGTCCCCCATTTCTTCAATCCATCGTGTAATTGTAGGCCCGGAAAGGCTCACTTTACTAAATAAATCGTCCTTCTCTAGACAAGTCGCTGGAAACAGAAAGAAGGCATTCTTTAACAAATTCTCCCTCTAGGAATGGTCTGCCAGTGCACGCTATGAGCTTGGCAACTTGAAAACATGCTTGCAGTGATGAAATATTTAGCTGTTTCTGCTTCACAAAAGTATTTTGCTGAGTTGTCAATCCATTTTTCAGTTTTAACCACTTGCCGACCGCAGATAGCCGAATGATGGCGTCACTGTGCCCGGCCAGTTCTGAGAGGGCATCATATGACATTCTCCCGTGTGCCCCCGGGGACGCGCACCCGGCAATCTCCGTGATCACTGTCCTACGGACACAGCTGATCATGTGATGTGGTAAAAGGCCAATCACAGCAACCTTTTACCATGTGATCAGCCATGTCCAATGACACAGCAGATCACCGGTAAATGCAGTTGCCGGTTATCGGCTGCACTTTCCACACGCTGTCACAGTGTGAGGAAAGTACTGCCGATAACCGGCAACTGTCAGAGGAGGGATCGGCACCGATCATCAGGGCACTGATGAACAGTGCCCTGATTATCGGTGCTTAGCAGTGCCACCCACCAGTGCTGCACACAAGTGCCCATCAGTGCTTCCCACAAGTGCCCAGCAGTGCCGTCAGTCATTGCTACCCGTTAGCGCTGCCTATCAGTGCCCATCATTGTTGCATATCATATCAGTGCCTGTCAGTGCAGCCTCATCAACGCACATCAGTGAAGGAGAAAAATGACCTGTTTGCAAAATGTTATAATAGAAACAAAGAGAAAATTTTTTTTTTCAAACTTTTTGCTCTTTTTTTGTTTATAGCGCAAAAAATAAAACACCCAGCTCTCTATTTGTGTGAAAAAGATGATAAAAATTCCATATGGGTACGTTGTCGCATGACCGCGCAATTGTCAGTCAAAATGCAACAGCGCTGAAAGCTGAGAATTGGCCTGGGCAGGAAGGGGGTATAAGTGCCCGGTAGGCAAGTGATTAATATTTTCTCTTTTCTCACTTGTCCGACCAAGCAATCATATTTATCTTTATGTTGAGTTTCGTAGTGTAGATGCAAATTGTATTCCTTGAACACAGACACTAAATTCTGGCATATAAAACAGCCCTTTCCGTGGGCTGCATGAAAATCGTAAGTCCACTGTTCTTTGAATATCCTGCACTCGGAGTCAATTTTTTCTTTTTCGTGACATAATTGTTTCCTAGGGATTAAAAATTGCTATTAGTAAAATACCAATAAATAGAGCGCTACAAAAATAATATACCAGCAGTAATAACTTTTCCCATACAGAGACATCCAGAGATATCCAATAATAGCAGTTTATTAAAAGCAAACAGATGACAGGCAGGTATATTGACCACTCCGAGCCCAGCCAGACAGCTACAAGAAAAGCCACACTCCACACACATCATGAAAGGAATTCATTAATTGTACATACACAGTTCTTTGGGCGCCGTGCTGACAACACAATCTGAATGACGTCACCGTCGTCCGGGACTAGAAAGTATTTATCGGGCGATCATGCCGCCTGTCAGGGAAGTAATATGCACCTTCTATATGTGTGCCGAGTGCAGGGGCGTACTACGCACATGGCTCAGCGGCTCTACAGACCAGAGAAGGTGGTCATTTATGTACTGATCGCCAGTCCAGCACAGCAAAAAATATTCAGCATACAGATGGCACATTCGAGGCTTCAGCGGCCCCTCCCCTTCCCAGTATATTCTTGCGCCCAGGTCACGTGCCCGCCCCTCCTCGTTTCACCTCTGAATGACGGGTGGGCTGGGTAAATGACTTTGGCGGACCGTAGTTTGAAGACCCCCTGTAAATGGGCTATATAAAGAGTTGCGTATTTGAGATTTCTATTTCAGCAAAAGTTTCACAGAGCCTTTGTTGATCATTACTCACGTCACAATAGCGCAGCTCACAATTTTTTAGTAAAGTATTTTAGTCTTTTTTAATCTATTCTTTTATATTCTATTCTAATGTATTCTGTTTAAATTCAAATTCATTCTATTCAAAATTTAAATTTCAGAAGGCAGTTATATTCTAATTCTGTTCTATTGTTTTTATATACTATTCTTTGATTCTCTATTCTAATCTTTTCTATTCCATTCTTTGATTTTCTATTCCAATCTTTTCTATTCTATTCTAATTGATTCTATTCCTTTATCTTCGTTTCTATTTTGCTCTGTTTTTACTCTTATTTTCTATTCTATTCTTTGATTTTCCATTCTAATCTTTTCTTTTCTATTCTTTTCGATTCTATTCTTTGATATTCTATTTTAATCTTTTCTATTATATTCTTCGATTTTCTTTTCTATTCTAATATTTTCTATTCTATTCTAATCTTTTCTGTTCTTTGATTTTCTATTCTAATCTTTTCTATTCTAATCTTTTCTTTTCTATTGTTTGATTTTTAATTCTAATCTTTTCTATTTACTCTTTTCTATTCTTTTCTATTCTTTGATTTTCTATTCTAATCGTTTCTAATCTTTTCTATTCTTTTCTATTTTAATCTTTTCTATTCTTTACTTTTCTAATCTAATCTTTTCTATTCTTTTCTTTTGATTTTTTTTTCTATTCTATTCTAATCTTTTATATTCTAATGGATTCTATTCCTTTTATTTTATACTCTATTTTGTTTGGTTTTTACTCTATTTTCTACTGTATTCTGTTCTATTCTTTTTTCCTCTAGTCTTTTATCTTCTGTTCTATTTTATTCTATCTTTGTTTTCAAATTGGTTTTTTAATTTTAATTTGTTTTCAAAATGTGTTTTTTCGAATGTGAATCGATTTGAATTTCGGACAAATTTCATTTCGTTATTTCAGATTACTGTATTTTTTCGCTCCATAAGACGCACCTGACCATAAGACGCACCTAGGTTTTAGAGGCGGAAAACAAAAAAAAATATTCTGAACCAATGGACTGCAGACACAGTACAGGAAATGACCAGAGACTGCAGACATAGTACAGGAGATGACCAGAGACTGCGGACGTATTACAGGAGGCGGCCAGAGACTGCGGACACAGTACAGGAGATGACCAGAAACTGCGGACACAGTACAGGAGATGACCAGAAACTGCGGTCATAGTACAGGAGATGACCAGAGGCTGTGGACGTACTACAGGAGATGACCAGAAACTGCGGACACAGTACAGGAGATGACCAGAGACTGCGGACGTACTACAGGAGATGACCAGAAACTGCGGACACAGTACAGGAGATGACCATAAACTGCAGTCATAGTACAGGAGATGACCAGAGACTGCACACACAGTACAGGAGATGACCAGAGACTGCGGACACAGTACAGGAGATGACCGGAGACTGCGGACCCAGTACAGGGGATGACCAAGAGACTGCAGACACAGTACAGGAGATGACCAAGAGACTGCGGACAGTACAGGGGATGACCAAGAGACTGCGGACAGTACAGGGATGACCAAGAGACTGCGGACAGTACAGGGGATGACCAAGAGACTGCGGACAGTACAGGGGATGACCAAGAGACTGCGGACAGTACAGGAGATGACCAGAGACTGCGGACAGTAGTTCCAGAAGACGCCATACCATTCACAAAGTGCAGAGCTTGCACCCGGCTATCACAGCTGAGAGCCCACACTAAAGATACCGGCACGGGAAGACTGTACAGCACTGGGCCGAGGAACAGGTAAGGTTCTACTGCAGAGAAGAGCTAAGTGGCCGGCCCGGTATTCTGACACCACGGCGGCGGTAGGGAATACCGGACCGGCCGCTCCATATTCGCTCCATAAGATGCACTGACATTTCCCCCCCTTTTTTTAGGGGGAAAAAAGTGCGTCTTATTTAGCGAAAAATACGGTAGTTTAAATTCGTTACTATTGTAATTCATAATCTGGATACATCCGAATAATGGAACATTCATCTGAATTTTGATTCGGAACAAAACGAACTGCACATGTCTAATACTTAGCATTGTCAATTTACAAAGCACTTTACATATAATACATTCACATCAGGCCATGCCTTCAAGGAGTTTACAGTCTAAAGTCCCTAACTCCCATTCATATACTGGGACAATTTAGACAGGAACCAAAACAACTATACCAGCATGTTGTCTTTGAAGTGTGGGAGGAAACTCACACAGGCAGAACATGCAAACTCCATGCATTTACTGCCATAGTTGGGAATTGAAGCAGCAATCCTAGTGCTGCTGGCAGAAGTGCTAACCACTAAGCCAGGACACTGACTATATTGTAGAATATATAGTAATACCATTATTCAATAATTAAGGTATATAATTATAAGTAGATATTTTAAGAAAAGTTTAATTAGACATTAAAAATTATTTGTCATATAACAGAGATAACTGTAATTTTTTTTAGATTTATATTTAACAGTAGAAAATATGCATTACTCTAATATTCATTAAATTCATTTGTTTGCAGAAGATGTAAAAAAAAAAAAAACACTACAAAAGAAGAGAGTTAATAGAATTAGCATCAAAAGAAGCTGAACAACATATCACAACTATCAATTGTTCACACACACACACACGTTTAGCCTTGCCTATTATGTAAACACAACTATGCAGATTCAACATTTACTAAAAGTCATTTGCCTATGTGAAGATACTTTTCCTTTCACCAGGGCAAGGTCTTAATTGTTTCAATTAGGTGAAGTTTGGTGTCTAATGTCTATTGCTTCACCTTATTCTTAGTAAATGATTACCATGGAGTCATTTAGATTGGTGGATGACTTAGTTCCATGGTTGTCAAAACCTGACTTGCACTGTTTCATCCCTGATTTCAGGTCCTGGGATTAAAAATTGTGTATATATCACAATCAATTGATTTTCCATTCTAAATTTTTCGATTCTATTCTTTGATATTCTATTTTAATCTTTTCTATTATATTCTTTGATTTTCTATTCTAATCTTTTCTATTTCTTGATTTTCTATTCTATTCTATTCTAATCTTTTCTATTCTATTCTAATCTTTTATATTCTAATATTTTTATTTCTTTGAATTTCTATTCTTTTGTATTTCTAATCTTTTTTATTCTTTTCTATTCTAATCTTTTTTTTTCTAATCTTTTCTATTCTTTGATTTTCTATTTTCTAATCTTTTCCATTCTATTCTTTTGATTTTCTATTCTATTCTAATCTTTTTCTATTATTTGATTTTCTATTCTAATCTTTTCTATTTACTCTTGTCTATTCTTTTGATTTTCTATTCTAATCATTTCTAATCTTTTATATTCTAATCTTTTATATTCTTTTCTATTCTAATCTTTTATATTCTTTTCTATTCAAATCTTTTGATTTTTTTATTCTATTCTAATCTTTTATATTCTAATGGATTCTATTCCTTTTATTTTTGACTCTATTTTGTTTGGTTTTTGCTCTATTTTTTTACTGTATTATGTTCTATTCTTTTTTTATCTAGTCTTTTATCTTCTGTTCTATTTTATTCATTGGATTTTGAATTTTAATTTGTTTTCAAATGTGTTTTCGAATTTGAATCTCTGACAAATTTCATTTCGTTATTTCAGATTATCGTATTTTTCGCTCCATTTTCCATTCTAATCTTTTCCATTCTATTCTTTTGCTATTCTATTTTAATCTTTTTATTATTTTTTTTTTTTTTTTCTATTCTAATATTTTCTATTTTTTTGATTTTCTATTCTAATCTATTCTATTTCTTGATTTTCTATTCTAATCTTTTTCTATTCTTTTCTTTTCTATTCTAATCTTTTCTATTCTTTTCTTTTCTATTCTAATATTTTCTAATCTTTTCCGTTCTAATCTTTGATTTTCTTTTCTTTTGATTTTCTATTCTATTCTAATCTTTTCTATTCTTTGATTTTCTATTCTAATCTTTTCTATTTTTCAAATGTGTTTTCGAATTTGAATCGATTTGAATTTCAGACAAATTTAATTTTGTTATTTCAGATTACCGTATTTTTCTCTCCATAAGACGCACCAAGGTTTTAGAGGCGCAAAACAAGAAAAAAAATATTGTGAACCAATGGACTGCGGACACAGTACAGGAGATGACCAGAGACTGCGGACGTACTACAGGAGATGACCAGAGACTGCGGACGTACTACAGGAGATGACCAGAGACTGCGGACGTACTACAGGAGATGACCAGAGACTGCGGATGTACTACAGGAGATGACCAGAAACTGCGGTCATAGTACAGGAGATGAATAAAATATGCATTACTTTAATATTCATTAAATTCATTTGTTTGCAGAACATGTAAAAAACACTACAAAAGAAGAGAGATAATAATAGAATTAGCTTCAAATGAAGCTGAACAACATATCACACCTATCAATTGTTTATTTTTACACAGACACACACCTAGGTTTTAGAAGGGGAAAACAAAAAAAAAAAAAAAATATTCTGAACCAATGGACTGCAGACACAGTACAGGAAATGACCAGAGACTGCGGACGTGCTACAGGAGATGACCAGAAACTGCGGACACAGTACAGGAGATGACCAGAGACTGCGGACATAGTACAGGAGATGAATAAAATATGCATTCCTCTAATATTCATTAAATTCATTTGTTTGCAGAACATGCAAAAAAAACACTACGAAAGAAGAGAGTTAATAATAGAATTAGCGTCAAAAGAAGCTGAACAACATATTACAACCATCATTTGTTTACACACGCACACACACACACACGTTTTGGAAGGGGAAGACAAGAAACAATATTCTGAACCAATGGACTGCAGACACAGTACAGGAAATGACCAGAGACTGCGGATGTGCTACAGGAGATGACCAGGACTGCGACATAGTACAGGAGATGACCAGCGACATAGTACAGGAGATGACATGCGGACATAGTACAGGAGATGACTAAAATATGCATTCCTCTATATTCATTAAATTAATTTGTTTGCAGAACATGCAAAAAACACTACAAAAGAAGAGAGTTAATAATAGAATTAGCATCAAAAGAAGCTGAACAACATATCACAACTATCAATTGTTTCTTTTTACACACACACCCACGCACGCACACACACACACCTCCCCCTCTAGGGGCCAAGTTTAGCCTTGCCTATTATGTAAACACGACTATGCTGATTCAACATTTACTAAAAGTCATTTGCCTATGTGAAGATACTTTTCCTTTCACCAGGGCAAGGTCTTAATTGTTTCAATTAGGTGAAGTTTGGTGTCTAACGTCTATTGCTTCACCTTATTCTTAGTAAATCAATCCCATGGAGTCATTTAGATTGGTGGATGACTCAGTTCCATGGTTGTCAAAACCTGACTTGCACTGTTTCATCCCTGAATTCAGGTCCTGGGATTAAAAATCGTGTATATATCACAATCAATTTGTGTACTATCCTATCAGACTTTACTGTGTTACGCCCTAGAGTCCATTATGATCTGATTATTTATGAGACTGGACAGCCTCAGATGATTGATACTAATGGCTGCTGGAGAAAGGAAGGAGGTATGTTATGTCAAGGGAAACAGGACAGGATCATGAGACAGCAATGCTGCCCCAAAGAAGGGTCATGACTTTTGGATGCAGAAGAGTTCCCCAAAATTATTTAAAATACTTGGGGCAAGGGTACTGGTGCTGGTATCAAATGTCTAGTGATGTCCTGTGTTCTGCATATGAGTTAAATTGTACTCAATGGAGTACACTACCTCAGGGAGTCTATTGTATGCCTTCTTCTCCCATTCTTGGCATGGCTATAGCAGGAAAACGAGGATTCATTTTTGAAAAATGAACACATATTCAATACTCTAACTATTTAAAGCAAAATGTGTAAGATAAAAGTCATAGCTGAAGCAGCATTAAATCCAAACCTTTTTATTTTTGCTTGTTTTTATTATTATCTTTTTCCTCATTTCATATTCTCATCTTAAATATCTTTAAGTAACGTAACCAGTCCATTAACATATAATTTTTTCCTCTATGACTGTAAAATGTAATCTTACACAATGACTTTTTTGTTAACCCCTCATCAGTCCACCTACTGCTTCAACCCAAGCCCTGTGAGTGTTGTTGGAATTCTGCCCATCCGAGGCAAAAGGGTGAGGAAAGATCACTGCACAGGCACTCCTGGTTCGGAAGTGAGGTCTTAGAGGCATGATGATTCCTTTATTGGCCCTGTCTCAAGTCTGCCATGATGTGTTTATCCTAAAAGATTAGGAGTTTGTCACGATCAAGGAAGAAGAAGAGGCTGTTGTGGTGGGGGGGGGGAGCCTTCTGGACTGTCATGGGAGGGTACAAAATCACTGAGTGAGGGCATTAGTTCAAGAATGAACTACAAGGGGAACAAAAATAAAAATATGGTTCTGTGATGGACATGGACCGCCTGTCACCCTGCCTGGGTGCTTCCATCAGAGAGCTGCTTCCTTGCCCCTGGGACACAGAAACAAGGTATTATAGCTGGGCATTGCACCCAAGGACTACACAACACTCGCTTAGGTGCAAGTGGAACTCAACTTTATTGAAAATTCACACAGAATTTACACCACACAAAATCAAAGAGCTTGATCACATATTCTTTAAAAAATGCATCCTGTAAACAGTAATATCATCAGTACATCTAACAGTACATCTCATGTACAGATAACATTTAAAAGTGATATAATCAAACAATCTAATTAACAGCTAGCAGCTTACAGTGATCTAATTAACAGTAAGCTAATCAACAGCCAGGCAGCCAGGACCCCACCCTAGACAGCCTGGCAACAAGCCCACACCCCTGGATATACAAAGTACATTACACATGCTGTCTATCAGGTGTTTGCCTTCCACTTGTCTAATCTATCCACTAGAAAAGTCATCATTCAGCAAAACTCATACAATATTCCAACAGTCTAAAAAAAAATACAATTCATTTATCTTCATAGATTTCCTGAGGGAGATTGGTGATAAATATTTCTCTCCTAAGTGGTGGAGCTTCTCCAACGCAGTCTGCGGGAGGGTCACCATAATTACTCTGACCATTAACCTGTACCAGATCAATATTACACCTTTCCATCCTCTCCAGAAGGCAAGATTTATTGTCTTTATTCAGAGAAATAATCCAAGCCTCGCTCTCAGCGGTCATCACGTTGTTGTCCATCATCACAGACTGATCCGCTCTCTTCATGGGATCAAAGGCTGAACTGAGCTCTTTTTCATGTTCTCACTGGGAGAAGCAGACAAAATCCCCAGTCTCCTCCATGGGCCAAAATCAGTGGGTAGAGGGCTAGCCATTAGTCCCTTCCAAAAGCCCCTGTCCCAGTTGGGTCTGTCACATGGGCCTACAATGATTTTTACCCTTATAGACATCATTAATGATGGTCATTATTATTAAGGAACTTTAAGCACATGGCTCCATTCCTAAGAACACTGTTTGCACATTAACTGAAATTCCCAGAACAGGGGTTAAAAAAATAGAACTGTAAAGACATCATAACCCAGCCCTGGAATTCTATATAGAGGAACTATCTAAAGGTGTTTATTGTAGATTTCTTTGTTGTCATGCCTGGAAGAAGTCACTTGAAAGGGTTCAACTAAGGTGTGAATGCAGCTGGAACTCAGTGTCATAATTGTCAGCTGGTAACCTAAAGATGGCCCTATCTTAAGATTTAATCGTAGTCCAGTAGCGTCATCTGTTAGATGACAATGGTAGTGATGGCAGGGTCTTAAGATATTTGAAACTTCTAAAGGGTGTGGACGGGGTGGAATCAGAAAGAGTGTGCAAAATTGGGATCTCTCGCTCTCTCCCCCCCATCTCTCCTCTCGCTTTCTCCCCCCTCTCGCTCTCTCTCACCTCTCTCTCCCCCTCTCTCTCTCTTCCCCCCTCTCTCTCCCCCCCTCCCCCCTTTCCCCCCCCTCTCTCTTCCCCCCCCTCTCTCTTCCCCCTCTCTCTCCCCCCTCTTCCTCCCCCCTCTCTTCCCCCCCCCCTCTCTCCCCCCTCTCTCTCCATCTCTCTCTCTTCCGCCCTTCTTTCCCCTCCCCTCTCACTCTCTTCCCCCCTTTTTGCTCTCCCCCCGGTCTTCCCCTCCCCTCTCTCTCTTCCTCCCCTCTCTATTCCTCCCTTCCCCTCCCCTCTCTCTCCCCACTCTCTCCCCCCCCCCCTTCTCTCTCTCTCCTCTCTCTCTCCCACCCCAGGAAATGGGTGTTTCCCAGCTGTTTTCTTGACTTTTTAGGGCTGAAATTGACTCATATTTAATCCCCATGGTCATTCTTTAGTAAAAAGATGGCACTTTAAAAAAAAAAAAATTAAAAAAAAACAATTTTTTTTTTCTTAACTTTAGTTTTAACAGGTTTTTTTTAAAAGCTATTTCTATTTAGGGGGTGATGGTCTATCAGTAAAGTGGTCCTTCCATTTCCTTTCCTTTCAGGGCTTGATTTATACTTTATTACTCCCTTGTCCAGCTACAATGTGACCCTTGCCCCAAACACAGCATGCAGCACTAAAATTAATTGACAAAGCTTAAAATGTTGTACCAGCAGGATCATACTTATAGAAGTTAAACCAGAGACAACATAAATATTTTACTGATACAACCAGAAAGCTCTGCAGAGGCAGGATCATAGTCACAGTCTACTTTTCAAATATTGTCATACAACATAATATCTTTTAGCATACTTATATAAGTCAATGCAAGAAAATTTTCTTCATCAGAACACTAGGAGAGGATGCTCTTCAAATACCCAAGAGTCAGATATAGATTTTGTGAAGTTTGTAGAGAAAGCTATAAAGAATAACATGGTATCCACTCCATACCTCTGATATTTAGGTGTAATGTGTTAAATGTGTCTTGCTTGTTGGTTGCACCTTTTGTGCAGAGTCCGGCAAAACAAACCTCATGTAATTTAATGTATGTAGATGCATTTAAAGCCCACTTCCAGCTTAGATGAAGAATGGAAAAAATGAATCCCCCCAACAGTAGTTAAAAATACAGTTTCAGTTGCAACACTCGCCTTCAATCTGGAGCTGTCACTGCAGTATTTCTTGTCTGTCCCAAGATGTCCTCAGTTTTCCAGGTCGAATAAAGCACAGCATCGCCCAACCTGGAAGACTGAGGAGATTATTGTGAATGTCACCAGGGTGCCCTGAAAGCACTGTGTACTGATGCATAGAATGGCACTGACATCAGGGTTGCTGAAAAAGGTAAATATATTAAAAAGACCTACACCCGAGGGGGGGGGGGGTATGGGGCCTCCAGGAGAGAAGGTTATCACATGTGGGAGGCAGCAGGTTGGGCTTTAAACACATAATACATGTTTTAAACACTCACCATGCAGAGGTGTAAAAGAGCCCTACTAAGACTGTGCACACGTGGTTCTTTGCCATACATATTTTTATGTTTCATAGCTACATTTTTTTAGTCACACTGCCCCATCCTTCCCCAAATTATTCTGCACATGGTGGAGTTTGACATTGACATCATCTCCAATCCAAAATATAGGGTATAATCTTTCTAAGAAAACACAGTGGAACACGTGTAGATTTTCCAGACCCCCATCCATGATGCCATAGAAGGTAAGGCTGCCAGCCGCACAGTCTAAATGAATACCAATTCTTCTGCACGTTGGTAGGTTCAGCGGAATTTCCTTGTTATCATGCCAAGCAGAATGGCCCATGCTCCGTAACTCCAGACTCCATGAACAGTTGTTTCTTCCAATCTGGTTTTCCATTACATTGATACGTTTTAAGGAATCATAGGCTACCCCTATCTGCACAAAGTAGGTTGAGATCTCCACCTCCCAGTAATGGCTTCCCTCTAAGAATCCTTCCGTGCACATCACCTGCCAGCTTTGAAATCTCTTGGGGGATTCAGGAACAGTATTAGTCCTTGAGCTTGTCTTGTGTGTGGCTTTACAATTCTGCTGTGATATTATAATGTATTTGTTGGCTGTCTCTGGGTCAAACATCAGGTTTCTATAATCTGTAGATTGAAGCAAGCAGATGTCCATTAGATTAATAAAAACATTATGGCAACTCAATCTCTGGTCAACTTTCATTGTCGGTACTGAGGCCCTATTCAGACCTGTCTATTGGGGCATTTTTAATGGCACCTCAACTCATCCACAACACACTGCAGAGTACCACAATTCAAATACAGCGCATTATGTTGCACTGTGTTGCTTAAAGCAGTAGTAAATTTTAAAAAAAGAAAAAAAGGGACCCCCTGCAGGCTTAAGCCATATTGTGCTAGTATGCACCACATGCTAGAACATAATAATAATTATTATACAGGATTTATAAAGCACCAACAGTTTGTACAGTGCCTTACAATATAAAGGCAGACAGTACAATTACAATACATTTCAGTACAAAAGGAATAGGTCATGGAGCTTACAATCTAAAGGAAGGGGGAGGTGGTACAAAAGGTGATAGCTGTAGGCAATGATCTGGTGGAGGTGGCTCAAGTACAGTTCGTAGGTGGAGGTGGGGTAGGCTTCCCTGAATAAGTGAGTTTTCAAAGATCGTCTAAAGGCAGACAGGGTGGGGGCTGGCCGAACATACTGTGGTAGGGAGTTCCAGAGGATGGGAGAGGCTCGGGAGAAGTCCTGGAGGCAAGCGTGGGAGAAGGTGACTTACCTATAGAATGGATCCCTCCAGCGTGCTGTCATTCCATCTGCATCTAATCTTCTTTCCGGGTTTGCTGGCTCCGACCATTCGAATGGCTGAGCCGCAACTATGTCACTTCTGCGCATGTGCACTTCAGTCATGACCGTGGCACAGAGCTCTGAAGAGATGGCATAAGTATGCCATCCCTTCAGACCGCATGCACCGGTGACGTCATTGGCTACTGCTTGCTGGAATATCTCTTAAATGGTGCACGTTTAGGAGATATTCATTTAACCTACAGGTGAGCATTATTATAAGCTAACCTGTTGGTAAAAGTTGCAAACCAAACTTTGCTACCGCCTTAAAAGGATCATGTGCATTTTTTTGGTTACGCGTATCGTGTGCAAACACGTCCTCAGACATGTTTGACGCGACCCCCCTCTGAGGACGTGTTTGCACACGATACGCGTCAGGAGGAGCAACACCACGCCGTGACGTCATGCCGCCGGAGCAACGTGGAGCTCCGGTGGCCATCTTTAATGCTAGATGGTCAGTCACACTGCTGTCTATTTTTATATCTCACTTTGTCTTACCAATTTGATGCATCATTAATAAAGCTGTACATTACCTACTACACTATGGGAGTATTCCTGTTTCCCCCCCCTGGGGGTGTGCTTTAAACCCACAGGCCTACTATCCCAGGACAGGCTAACACTCTCTACAGATACCTGGTGATACATTACCACTCCTAGAAGGGATTAGGATACCCCGGCACCTGGCTTACTGTTTCATATCTGATTACACGTCCCCCAGAGGGAAGACCCTTCAGCTCCAGGCCCCATCAGAGGACATCTGGATTTACTTGTATAAGGCGCAATTAATATGCGCATCCGGTGAGTGCGTATTACCTACATCACTATAGCACTTTTTGCCGGATCAAGATTCACCAGTCACCTGATTGGAACTTTTATATTTATATATTTTTATATATTTATCTGATTAATTAATTAATTTATTTTATTATTATATTCCCTTTAAATTGGGATATATCAGTTGATTTATTGTCTTTTCGGACACTATATTGTACCCCCTTTTTTAGCGCTGCACAATTTGATTTTAGATATTCCTATTGTATGGTGTTATTGGTACCCAATTGTGTGCATAGATGCTCTTTCTTTAGGCGCTCACTCCTTTTCTCTATATACTAGGTAGTTTAGGGTTGATTGCTTATACTGTGTATGCATGTAGGCAGGTTGCCTACTGTTAGCCTAGCTACAGTCAGGTCCATAAATATTGGGACATCGACACAATTCTAACATTTTTGGCTCTATACACCACCACAATGGATTTGAAATGAAACGAACAAGATGTGCTTTAACTGCAGACTGTCAGCTTTAATTTGAGGGTATTTACATCGAAATCAGGTGAACAGTGTAGGAATTACAACAGTTTGCATATGTGCCTCCCACTTGTTAAGGGACCAAAAGTAATGGGACAGAATAATAATCATAAATCAAACTTTCACTTTTTAATACTTGGTTGCAAATCCTTTGCAGTCAATTACAGCCTGAAGTCTGGAACGCATAGACATCACCAGACGCTGGGTTTCATCCCTGGTGATGCTCTGCCAGGCCTCTACTGCAACTGTCTTCAGTTCCTGCTTGTTCTTGGGGCATTTTCCCTTCAGTTTTGTCTTCAGCAAGTGAAATGCATGCTCAATCGGATTCAGGTCAGGTGATTGACTTGGCCATTGCATAACATTCCACTTCTTTCCCTTAAAAACTCTTTGGTTGCTTTTGCAGTATGCTTTGGGTCATTGTCCATCTGCACTGTGAAGCGGCGTCCAATGAGTTCTGAAGCATTTGGCTGAATATGAGCAGATAATATTCCCGAAACACTTCAGAATTCATCCTGCTGCTTTTGTCAGCAGTCACATCATCAATAAATACAAGAGAACCAGTTCCATTGGCAGCCATACATGCCCAGGCCATGACACTACCACCACCATGCTTCACTGATGAGGTGGTATGCTTAGGATCATGAGCAGTTCCTTTCCTTCTCCATACTCTTCTCTTCCCATCACTCTGGTACAAGTTGATCTTGGTCTCATCTGTCCATAGGATGTTGTTCCAGAACTGTGAAGGCTTTTTTAGATGTCGATTGGCAAACTCTAATTTGTCCTTCCTGTTTTTGAGGCTCACCAATGGTTTACATCTTGCGGTGAACCCTCTGTATTCACTCTGGTGAAGTCTTCTCTTGATTGTTAACTTTGACACACATACACCTACCTCCTGGAGAGTGTTCTTGATGTGGCCAACTGTTGTGAAGAGTGTTTTCTTCACCAGGGAAAGAATTCTTCGGTCATCCACCACAGTTATTTTCCGTGGTCTTCCGGGTCTTTTGGTGTTGCTGACCTCACTGGTGCGTTCCTTCTTTTTAAGAATGTTCAAACAGTTGTTTTGACCACGCCTAATGTTTTTGCTATCTCTCTGATGGGTTTGTTTGTTTTTTTCAGCCTAATGATGGCTTGCTTCACTGATAGTGACAGCTCTTTGGATCTCATCTTGAGAGTTGACAGCAACAGATTCCAAATGCAAATAGCACACTTGAAATGAACTCTGGACCTTTTATCTGCTCATTGTAATTGGGATAATGAGGGAATAACACACACCTGGCCATGGAACAGCTGAGAAGCCAATTGTCCCATTACTTTTGGTCCCTTAACAAGTGGGAGGCACATATGCAAACTGTTGTAATTCCTACACCGTTCACCTGATTTGGATGTAAATACCCTCAAATTAAAGCTTACAGTCTGCAGTTAAAGCACAACTTGTTAGTTTCATTTCAAATCCATTGTGGTGCTGTATAGAGCCAAAAATGTTAGAATTGTGTCGATGTCCCAATATTTATGGACCTGACTGTAGATTGCTGCCCCGTTTGGGAGATAATTAAATGTTGTGCACGATTTCCCAGGTCCTTTTTTGAGTCTGGCCCACTGGTCCTGTAGCCTATAAAAAGGGAAAACTGGTCTAAATTCAGGGGCATTGACCTAGCTCGTGGTCTTAGTCTTGCTGCTTCCTCACTTGGACCTGTTCCTGCCGTGGGCCTGTGGTTCAGAGCCTTTAATATGTAGGGGGGTTGTCAAAAACTTCAGTCCACCCTGATGACACCAGTTCTAGACATCTTCCATTATGGACTTGCCTTTTCATGGACTTCACCTGTACAGGTACTCTGGGGCAGCCAAACCTGAGGTAGGGACTAGGTTAGAGAAGAACTGTTATTTGTAATAGTCAAGTTACTCAAGTAAAGTGTTAAAACTTTGCCATTCCTGGTTATTCAAGGGGTGCATGAAAGCTACTGGCACTCTATCCACTTTACTTCCCTTCCTGACCCAGGCCATTTTTTGTTATTCGGCACTGCATTACTTTAACTAGCAACTGCGCAGTTGTGCAACACTGTATCAAAATGAAATTTATATTGTGTTTGTCACACAAATAGAGCTTTGTATTGCTGGTATTTGATAACGTCTTGTTTTTTTATTTTTTTTGCGATCTAAACGAAAAAGGACCATTTTGAAAAAAAAAAAACACAATATTTTTTACTTTCTGGCATAAAACAAAACCTATCCCAAAAAAATTTTGAAAAATCAAATATTTTCATAAATGTTGACCAAAATGTATTCTGCTACATGTCTTTGGTACAAAAAAATCCCAATAAGCGTGCATTGGTTTACGTGAAAGTTGTAGCATCTACAAACTATGGCTTATATTACTGGAATTTTTGTTTTTTAAATACTACTAATGGCGATGATCAGCCTAATGTGTGAAATGTATGCTGCTTTTTAATAATAATCTTGTTTTTATTCCTTGTTAGTGAACATAGCTCTGAATTGTTTACAATGACAGAGCTGTGGTCAACTGTGTTCAGTGCTGATCACCAGGTCCCAGCAGTCAGTTATTGGCCAGGAACTGGTGATCAGTATGTGCTGTAACGAATCATAGCACAGCCAGACCAGCGGGCAGATGAGCACCCCCTGGCTGAGCATGTGGATCACGTACTAGGCATGTGATTCAGCACATGACAGTCACTCTGCCACCGTATATGTAAGTTACATGGTCGGCAAGCAGCTATACAGTGGGGAAAATAATTATTTGATTCCCTGCAGATTTTGTAAGTTTGCCCACTTACAAAGAAATGAAGGGTCTATGTCTATATTTTTTATCATAGGTGTATTTTAAATGATAGAGACAGAACATCAACCATAAATCAAGAAAAAACACATGATACAAATGTTATTAATTGAGTTGCAGTTCAGTGAGTAAAATAAGTATTTGATCCCCAAGCATGACTTAGTACTTGGTGGAAAAACCCTTGCTGGCAAGAACAGGTAAGACGCTTCTTGTAGTTGGTTATAAGGTTTGCACACATCTCAGGAGGGATTTTGGTCCACTCTTCTTCACAGATCATTTGTAAATCCTTAAGGGTTCTTGGCTGTTGCTTGGCAGCTCGAAGTTTCAGCTCGCTTCATAAATTTTCTATAGGATTAAGGACTGGAGACTGACTAGGCCACTCCACGACCTTAATGTGCTTCTTCTTGAGCCACTCCAGATTTTACAATACATGGCCCCATCCATTGGCCCCTAAATGCAGCAAAGTTGGCCTGTACTTTTAGCAGAGAAACAGCCCCAAAGCATATAGTTTCCACCTCCATGCTTGACTGTAGGGGATGGTGTTCTTAGTGACATAGTCAGCATTTTTCTTCCTCCAAACACGGCAAGTCGAGTTAATGCCAAAGAACTCAATTTTGGTCTCATCTGGCCACAGTGCCTATACATGTGCCTTGAGGAAGGGGACCTTGCAGGCGCTGCAGGATTTCAATCCATGTCGGCGTCTTGTGTTACCAATGATTTGTTTGGTGCCTGTGGTCCCAACTGTCTCGAGATCATTCACAAGCTCCTCCCATGTAGTTCTGGGCCGATCCCTCACTTTTCTCATGATCTTCCTTACTCCATGAGGCAAAATCTTGCATGGAGCTCCAAACCAAGGGCAATTGATGGTCATTTTGTATTTCTTCCATTTGCAAATAATCACTCTAACAGTTGTCTCCTTCTCACAAGGCTTCTTGTTGGTGGTCTTGTAGCCCATTCCAGTCTTGTGCAGGTCTACAATCTTGTCCCTGACATCCTTTCCCAGCTCTTTGGTCTTGCCCATGGCAAGGTGAGGTTTGAATGGAAGAAAGAGAGATTCTGTGGACAAGTGTCCTTTATACACAGAACGAGTTGTCATTAGGAGCACGTTCTTAAATTGACAGGACTAATCTCTGTACCACATGAGCACACAGCCAGTCTGTGGGAGCCAGAATTATAGTTGGTTGGTAGGGATTAAAAAATACTTATTTTACTCACTGAATTGCAACTCAATTTATAAAATTTGTATCAGGTTTTTTTTCTGGTTTTTTGGTTGATATGCAGTCTCTATCATTTAAAAATTATGATAAAAAAAATTATAGACCCCTCATTGCTTTGTCAGTGGGCAAACTTGAAAAATATGCAGGGGGTCAAATAATTGTTTTTCCCACTGTACATGATCTACAGCTTGGGTTAGTAAAACACATTGGGGGATGAAGACAGATTCATCAGAGTAACATGCTAAAGAGTACAGCATGTGATTACCAGGGGTAACAGAAGTCTACAGCCAGTAAAGGCAGCCTGTCATGAAGCATGTACTTCTGACAGGTGGGATGTCTTCTAGCAATGAGGGGGTTGTCATCGGCACCCTCTCCAAGCGGTCCGTCTGATATGGGAGCATATTAGCACAGCAGAGGTTCCCAACCTGGTCATAGGTATGAAAGAGGCAGAGTTACCAGAGCATGCATGGAGTCCATGCTAGGTGCTCAGCTGGACTCCATTCCATTACTTGGAGTGAGGTAGGGGAGATATGCTGGACAGGTGGAGTCAGCATTGGATCAGCATGGGCCTCCGAATTGCAACTACTGACCGTGAAAGTTTACATTGATTCGGGGCTAGGGAGAGTTAACTCTAGTCCAGTTTATTGTCCTGGCACACAGTGCATGGCCATCTCTAGGTTGGAGGCCCACCTTAAGGTTGAGCTCTCCCTAAAAGCAACAGGTCAAAAGTGACTGTTCAAGGTGCCTAGCATAGCCCAGAAGAACCCACCCCAGAGTAGGACTCCTATAGGACCAACACTTGGCGCCCAGTGAGGAAGGGAACATAATAATAATGTAAAATCTCTCTAATAAGGGCACAGACAAAACCGAAAACCCATTTGTAACAAATTAAGAGGGGTTTGATCTTCTGACAATGTTTATATTGTTGTCTGTGTCTTCCTTTCTCGATGATGCCCACATAACCCCATTTCTTGCATAGGTGTGTAGAACACTCCTAGTATAGGATGCTAGGTAAATTAAGTTTGGCACCCTCTGTTAACAGAGGAACAGTGATTGATTGCCAAGGTCTGCTCATGGTTTTACAAGCTGAGACTTTGTTTCCAGGGCCGTCTTTAGGGCAGGGAAAAAGGGCAGCTGCCCTGAGCCCAGTGATTTTTCTGGGGCCCAAAGCAGCTACCCCATATTTGCCAATTGTCCTGGTTTGCAGTGTACAGATGACCCAGATCATGTCAGTATTTACATGTTATTAACCAGCCTTGATATGTAAATAGCGACGGCATTCATATGTATATTATGCCCCCCTGAGGTTCCATCCACCATCACCTCTGCTGAATGCTGCCCACTGGAGACGTAAACAGGGGCATGCTTGAAAGTCCTGTGGTCACTGAGCCTATCATCAGCCTGTTCTACAAAGGTAAGCAAAGTGGTGCGGGTGGGGTGTGCAGAGGTAGGCAGAGAAGGAACTACAGTTTGGGGTGCACAGGTGAGCAAGGAGGGGATGTACAGATGTAAGGAAGGTGGGTGCATAGATGAGCATAGCAGGCATGTAGAGTCAAGTGGGGGGGGGGAAGGCTGGAGTGGAGAGGTTTGGGGTGCAGAGGTTAGCAATCAGTGAGCCCTAATGATGTGCTGTATCCTCTAGCAACCAATCAGTTAGCAGTAATGATGTGCAGCAACCTCTAGCAACTAATCAGTGAGCCCTAGTGTGTGCTATAACCTCTATCAACCAGTCAGTGAGCAGGAATAATATGCTGTAACCTCTGGCAACCAGGTGCAATCGCTGCCTGATCTGATAATTATTGTTCTTCTCAGAAAAGTTGGAGAGTGAAATTGCATGGTGGGGCAAAAAAATGTTTGCCCCGGGTCCAATCAGTATTAAAGATGGCTCTGTTTGTTTCCCTCTGCCTTTGCGAGAATCTTCCAGAGCTTAGGGTGGGAAAATTCAAATGTCCAGCATGAACATTTACTATGCTCTGACCAATCCTTGGGGAGATGTGCACACAAGGAAGTAGGAGAGAATCTTGGGGTCACAGACAGAAAAAAACTAGAATTTTTACCTCTTTCCTACTCTATCCAGATTTGGGCTGGTGTAAGCTTACCAAGTTCATACTTGGAAAAATAAGTTTTCTTACAATCTAAGTCCATGATGAGACAGTATACCTTGAAAAAGTTTGTTTCTGATGGTGCTCATGGTTGTGGTATCTGTTGCTAGTTCTGTCTTCAGGGTACTAGGAAATGATCCTGATGTCTGTGTTGGGCAACATGTACCTCTTATTTCGAAGCTGGAAGACCTTACTGAGCTCTCTGTAAAAGAGGGAAACTCATTACATTCAACATAGTAGAGTGCATTTAACATCATTAGATATTGGGTGTCCTAAAAACTAATTTCTAGCTAAAATCCAAACTTGCACTCTTTTTTTTACTCCAATGAGTTGCAGGGCCGGATCATTCCTGCCCCTTTGTTTGTGTGGGCTGCAGGGCAGAAATAACCTGGAACCTAGCATTTTGGAGTAAAAAAAAAAAAAGAGTACCCAATTGGAGATCAGCTAGAGGTGAGCTCAGAAAATGCTCATTAAAATGATTTATCAGGGAACTCATGCTATTGTATTTTAGACATGTGCAATTTGAAATTTGAATGAAATTTTCTGAGATTCTGTTGTATCCGACTTTCCGAATTACAATGGCAAGAATTTCAATTAATCCAAAATAAATTATAACAAAACAAATTGTCTGAGTTTGAAAACTATTTTTAATTCAAAAATTAAATTGAAAATTAATTTGATTTAAAAATGGAAACATAATGCAATAAATACAGTAGTATAAGTACAGTAGTATAAAAGTGAAATAAACTGATGATTCCCATTACAGTAGGCTGCTTTATAGAATAAAATAGAATAGAAAATAAAAGAAAAAAATAGAATAGAAAATGAAGGAATAGAAAAGAATCAAATACATTGGAATAAAACAGAAAACAATAGAACAAAACAAAATAGAATGTAAAGGAATAAAATAGAAAAGAACAGAATAGAAAATAATTTAAAAACATTTATAGAAAAAAAATAATAGAAAAAAATAGAACAGATTAGAATAGAATGAATATAGCCAAATTTTTACGGTTGAATTTTGAAATTCAAATTTCAAAATCCGAATTTTAAATTAATTTGAAAATAAGGAATATATGAAACGAATGCGAATATACACCAACTAATTCTGAAAACAAATCATTCTAAAATAAAGAATATGACGAAATTAAATGATTAACTTAAACATATTTGGAACTAAATAAAATTTTCAGTTGTGATATATCGTAATAGTTGATATGGGGAACTCACATTTACACTTACCTCTAGTTTCTGGTTGTGCCACCACAGGGTGTAATGCATTGGGCAGCTCCTGCTGAAGTAGTCTTGTGACTTCAGGCAGAACCTTAGTGATTGCGTTCATCTGTGCTGTTCCACACAGCTGAACGTTTGGTGGTACTGGAGCACATCCAACTGGTGCAAGGAGTGGAAGACCCTGTGACAACAAAAAGATAACATATTATATGTGAGGTCACACTGCTGGAGGTGAGCAGATGAAGCTGGTGGAGGAATTGACCACTTTTTTGGTTGGACCACTTGGTGATCACGGCAGAAAGAAAAATTCTATTTAGAAGAATTGTGTTTAGGACTTTCACATTTATTCATCATGTTGCCAATGATCATGTTTTGTTTTTTAGTTTTATGATATATAGCACTGCACTTTTTTCACTATTTTTATACACCCTTCAATGACGGTGTTAACTTGACTTCTAAATATTTTACTTCTTTATCCCTCCAAGTGAAAGGGAATTTCCCTTGAATCACCTGACTTTCTGACTTCAGTAGATTAATATTCAATATCCCTGACTTTAAAAAAATTATCTTAAAGTTTGACAGTTCCCCATAATGTTTTAATATACTCATTAAATTTGGTAGTGTTAATCTAGGATTTACAACATAAAATAATATATCATCTGCATACGCTGCAACTTGTGTTCCACATCTCCAATTTGAATTCGTTTATATCTACACTATTTCGTATAGTAGCCAACAAGGGCTCCAAAGATAGTACAAACAGGAGAGGCGAAAGTGGGCACCCCTGTCTTGTTCTGTTATGCATTATAAAATGTTGCAATAATGTACCCTTGATCTTCACTGCTGTGGAGGGATGATTATGTGCATTTTTTTATCCATCGCATCAATATAGGTCCTAATCCTATTGCTTCTAATTAATCATTAATCCCCAGTCTGCCTTGTCAAACGCTTTTTCAACGTCTATTGACAAGAAAACCACTGGGGACCTCTCCTTCCTACTCTTTAAAAAAAGGAGGAGTAATGATCTTAGACCATTATCTCTTCCTTCTCTTCCCGCTTTAAACCCCACCTGGTCAAGGTATACCCATTCTGGCATTAGATCTTTCAACCTGTTAGCAATAACGTTCGCATATAATTTCGTATTTATATTTAATAATGAAATTGGCCTGTAATTGGCACATTGGGATGGATCTTTTCCTTCCTTAGGTATTATTGTAATATGTGCCAGAAACGACTCCTTTCTCATTAACGTGCCAACTCCTAATGCATTCACATATACACACATTCTGGGCACTAACTGATCTTTAAATTTTTTAGAATATCTTACTGTATAACCATTAGGCCCCGGGCTCTTCCCTGCCACTGTACTTGCTATTGCTTCTAGTATTTCCTCCTGTGAAATTGAATTTTCTAACATCTCTAATCTAGGTAACCCAGCTGTTTTTAAATATGTCTGAATTTTCTTGTATCTTTCTCCTTCCAAAACCTTTTGATCCTTATGTTTAACCGCATACAGAAAACTATAATATTTTTAAAATAAGCTAGCAATCATTTTAGTTGCGTATACTACCTCTCCCGTTTTTGTTTCTAATCTTCTGTATATAATTTACTGATTTCTTTTTCCTTAATATTTTTGCCAAATATTTTTCTGGTCTATTTCCCCACTGATACCTTTCCTTTGCCACCATATTGAAAACACTTTTTGTCTCCTGTTCCATTAGATCTTTTTCAAATTATCTTATATTGTACTTATATTTCTGTTCTTCCACCCGTTTCTTCTTTTTTTTCTGCCCCTATTGAAATCAGGATACCCCTTATAAATGCTTTATGGGCTTCCCATATCCTGGCCACTGAAACGCCTTTGGTTTCATTTAACTGGAAATACTGTTCTATTTCTTTTTTTATTCTACCTTCAGTCTCCTGATCCTAGTAATAGTGTCTCATTTAGCTTCCATGTATTTATATTATTTAAATCTCCTTCTATTTTCAACTTCATTGTGACTGCCACATGGTCTGAGAGAGAAGTAATTTAAATACTGGATTTAATCAATGACTCTAGTAATCTGTGTTCTATTAGTATATAGTTCTGTTTCAATATTTTTATTAAGAAAGTTTGTTTTATGAACACAACAAGCTCAATATACGCCCACGCAGGGGCCGAGCGTAACAGTAACTCAGGAGCAGGTACATCCTGCTGACTTGTATTAGCCAAATAATAAAATGACCATTAACAGCAAGGAAGGATGGCAAAAACCGAACCAAATATTATCAGCAGTAGTCAAATAGAATACGGTAAAGAGAAGAGGGTATAAAAAAAGTTAGAAGAAAGAAAAGAAAAGAAAAAAAAAAAAAAAAGGGAGTCAGAAAGAAAACAGAGGAAAGGGAGACTAGAAGAGTCACGGATCCAGGGCTAGCACAGGTAGCAATTATAAGGGGTCATAACTAGTAAGGGGCAGGAATGGCAAGGAATATCATATCCAAGGTTCCCAAACCTTAAGAAATCTTGGATGAGAATCATGAAGAATGCTAGACATTTCTTCATTGATCAACATATCATTCATCCGGGTCTTCACCCCTTGGAAAACAACCGAGGGGGTACTCCAAGCCTGAGCTATGGCGCGATTGGACAAAATAAATAGGTAGGATGCCAGTTTCTGCTGAGATCTAGACAGACCCAGAATTGGGCAATGTAGAAGGGCCACCCTTGCATCCCTACGGACCGTAATGTGAAATAGCGTTTGTAGCAAACCAAAAACCCTAGACCAGAAGCCTATCAATCGTGGGCACGACCACCAAATGTGTAAGACGTCCCCGCGTAGACCACAATTCCGGAAACATCTATCTCCGCCAGTCGGATTAAAGTGCGCAGTCCGAGCCGGGACCCAGTACCACCGCAGGAGAACTTTGTAGGCTGCCTCAAGAGTGACCGTATTGAATGAACATTTCGCCACCGCCCCACAGGCCCTACGCCAATCCTCCGCTGCAATCAAGCCACCCAGATCTCGCTCCCACTGAGAGACATAAGACGGGCGGTGAGGAGGACCTACTGTTAAGGGAAGCATAAATTACAGAAATGAGACCAGGGGACCCTGGGGAGTGCTGACAAACGTGTTCAAAGGACATTTTGCGGTAAGGGTATGCAGAAGTACGACGACGGGAAAGGACCCAGTGGCGCAATTACAAATACCAATAATATTCCCATGGCGGGACCCCCTTTGATGCTTGAAGAGATTCCCATGAAGGAAACGTACGAGCGTTCAGAAAATCATGTACGATAACAAAGCCATGGGAGGTCCACCAAGAGAAAGAAGGGGGGTGTTCTAGGCCTGGCGGAAATAAAGGATTATATGTGATCGGCAAAAGAGGTAGAAATGATGAAATCAAATTACCCGAATATTTTACAGAATCCCAGGTTCGTAAACTGTGAAGCATGATAGGGCTCAAATCCGGAGGGAGTAGCTTAGGCGGGAGCCAAAGCAATGCAGTTAAGGAAAGCGGAGCACAATTGGGTAATTCCAATAGTACCCATAACGGGATATCTGTCGTGGCATGAAGCATAGACAACTGGGAAATCAGGGCTGCCAAGTAATATCTAGAAAAGTGTGGGACTCCCAAACCTCCCTGCAATCTATGAGTATATAGAGTGGCTCTAGGCTGTTTATGAGCCCAAATAAAACTGTGAATCCGGCTTTGCAATACACAAAGAAAAAACGCAGGGACCTGAATAGGAAGAGTACGGAAAAAGTACAGGATCTTCGGCAAAATAGTCATCTTGACAGCACGTATCCGGCCAATCCAAGATAGAGAAGGAAACTGCCAAGAATGAAGCAAGGAAGTAACAGAGTGCAATAAGGGGTAATAATTAGCCAAAAATAAAGTAGAATAGGAGGAAGTAAGTGTAATGCCAAGATAAGCCAGAGAATGGGACGCCCAACAGTAAGGAAAGTGTGTCTGCAACCGTTCAACCAGGTCGGCAGGGAGCGTAATATTCAAAGCCGTGGTTTTAGACAAATTAATGCGGAGGCCAGAAACAGTTGAAAAACGGTCCAATATGACTTGGAGATTGGGGGGGAGTGATGAGAGGATTGGTTAAAACCAAAAGGGCATCATCCGCATAGAAGTTGGCCTTGTACTGAGTGCCGGCATAGGGGACACCTGAAATATCTGTGTGATTTCAAATGGCTGCAGCTAAAGGTTCAAGAGCAAGAACGAAAAGAGCAGGTGATAATGGGCATCCCTGTCTCGTGCCCCTGAAAATAGGAACGGACGAGGAAAAAAAACCTGCACATTTAACACAGGCCAAGGGAGACGACTATAAAGCTGAGATCCATGCCGGGAATGCATCACCAAACCCCCATCTAGACAGTGTATATGTCAAGTATTCCCACGAAAGTGAATCGAACGCTTTATAAATGTCCAAGGATAAAAGGAATCCTGGTATCCCGCGGCAATGTAAAATATGAATGAGAATATATAACCCCTTTACAGGGTGAGTGAAAGACTTACATTCAGGTTCATCTGTGTCTTTTTTTTTTTTTTTTTTTTTTTTTTTAAGTTTGAAGAAGGTTTCTTTGCTTGGGAAAGCTCTGAGACTGCTCATTGCCAGACTAGATAATTATTTCACAGGGTTTTGCTTGCTGCTTAAAGCAGTTAAAAAAACATAATAATGTAATGAAGTAGAAATAACTTGCTTATTAACAAACCCTAAAGGGTTAACAACTGCTTGATGAAGGTTGATAGGCAGCTTCCAACCACAGCCCTGAAGTCACCAGGTAGGTAATAAACCAAACTTTGCCCTGCCAGGGAGGAAGAGATAACGAAAATGTTTTGTTAAGAAGAGCAACAGAAAAGTAGCAATCTGCATCAGAATTGCAGCAATATTCTGCAATGTACACAAACCATCCAAGGGAATTGTTGACATCATAAAGACCTTCTCTTTTTTTTTTTTTGAGAAACTGAACAGCACAATCAAAATATAAAGGACGTCCCATACTCCAACAGGCAATGCTGGCTAAAGTGGTTATCCACAAGCAACTCCTCTACTTTCTCTGAGAGATCTGGTCTTTTGAAGGGGTTGGCACACAAGTGTCAAACTGGCGGCCCTCCAGCTGTTGCCAAACTACAAGTCCCATGAGACATTGCAAGATTGACAGTTACAAGCATGACTCAGAAAGGCAGAGGCATGATGGGACTTGTAGTTTTGCAACAACTGGAGGGCCGCCAGTTTGACACCGCTGGTTGGCATAATGGCACAATAGTAAAGCAAACATGAGAAGCCACCAACAGGTTAATGCCATGTGAACAGACTTTGCGCACCTGTTATGCAGACTACTATCTGTGGAGGAGCTCAGGGGAAGCACAGCGGCTTCAGGGAGCAAGACACAACCATACCCAGCAATGCAGCATTCATTTGGAAACAAGATATTCATAAATTTAACCTCTGCCATCCGACTGTAAACACTGGCACTGCGTGGAAGTGCCTGCCTACAGGAGACTCTGCTTACACCACTGCCCACTTCACATGGACCCAGCGGACCCCAGAAAAGGATGTTAGCCGTGATAAAAGCCGCCCCGAGGACCAGCAGCAGGGCTCCCTGGAATTTGGGTCATTTAGCCGGACCACCACGTCCAGCTGAAACCCACAAGCATGGACGGACAGCCAGCCCTTTAGACCAGCCAGGTAGAGGAGCACACCTAGGTTCTGCACATGGGAGGAAAAAAAGAGGAACGCTGAGGCTGCAGGTAGGCTCAAATTTATGAGTTAGGTTCTTGAAGCATGGGGGGCAGGGCCTTTACCCGGGGCCCTTACCCAGCTGTGCTGACATGGAGCTGTCGAGAAAAGTATTGCTAGGCCTTGTACAATTTTCCTTTAGATTTACCAAAAAGCATATAATATGACAGGGATGTGTGACTCCTATCCCCCGACACTGGGACATGCAGTTTCGGGCGCCCGGGCAGGAGGTTTTTCTTTACATTTAGCCCTGCTGCGGTCAAGCAGCAGGGTTTAAAGTCAACGGTCCCCCCCTCCTCCTTCTGCCGGCTGTATCATCGCGGCATGTCCCCTCCAGAGAAGCCACTGCCAGGTAGTGTGGCCCACCTCTCCCCCTCCCCATGTCCTTGACCTGTTGTATGGTGAGGGCCTGCCCCAGAGCTCCTCCCCCTCCTGGCACATCACCTCTGGGCTAGTGCGCCCCCCCCTTCTTCACCTCCCTGGGTCTTCAGCACAGTGAAGTCTGGTCAACATTTTTTGAGCTTCAGCATGTAGGAGCAGAAAAAAATTTTTTTTTGTAGAGTTTTTTTGAACATTTTTCCAGTAGAAAAAAAACCACTAAATACTACTAAATCACTCATAACAGGTTTTTTTCTAGCTTCCTCTACATGCACTGTAAAAATGCTGATAAAACGCTAATGCTCTTAAATGCGCTACTAAAACCACTAACACGCGCTGCTAAACATTTTTTTAAATCCAATGTTTTCCCCAGCATTTTTTGCGCTTACAAAAAGCTCTAGTGTGCATGGAGCCTTAGGAGCATTTTAGTAGCGTTCAAGAGTGTTCATTGTTTTTTCTGCTGGAAAAACACTCCAGAACCTCGGTTCCTAGTACGGTTGCGTTTTCCAGTGCGGGCGGCGTGCCATTAGAACTAATGGCACCCTCCCGCGGGTCCGCATTTCTCTGTGTGGGTGGTCGGCTGCACAGATTTTCACACATATGTGAGCCTGGTCTAAGTCCTCCTGCACAATGCATGTTTTTACAGTGGCTGTTTTTGGCTTTTGATGTTTTTTTTTCTACAGCTAGTGAACCCCCCAGCATGTTAACCTATGTGTCCATGCACACATAGACTGTAATCAATGTTTTTTTGGCTGGGACGTTTTTTGGCTGGAAAAAAAACCCAGGACTAGTGGATTTCTAGAGAAGTTTTTTTAGCTGTAAAAATGCTCTAACACTGAAAACTGAACATGGTAAAATGCCGCAAACCGGCGTTTTTGGACTTTTTTTGACCAAAAATATTTTTTTTTGGGTAAAAAAAAGGCACAAAATGCGGGAAAACTCCGCTAACCGCTAATGCAAAAACACTAAAAACATTCAGTGTGAATGAGGACTAAGGAAGCACTAGTGTGCATGGAGCCCAAGACTCAAGTAAAGTCTCCTTTGTAAAGAAAATAATAAATGCACATCTTTTGCAGGGAAAAAAAAATGTGCATTTATTTGTTTATTTGAATTAGGTGCATGTAAAGCATTGTACCCACTAACAGCAGATCCCAGGTGCAATCTCAGGCTCCTGCAAACTGTCAGTGTAGCTCTCTGCCTGTACCTCGTACAGACAGGCTGTTTCTGAATGACAGGAAGCATCAATGAACTACCTAGAGAGCTCATCAGCGCCCTGGTAGTTCATTGAGAACTACAGGCCATCAAGCACAACGGCTGATGGTAGTTGTAGTTCTCCCATTCACAGAGCTCTGTGGATGAGAGATATGGCCGGATGGGCAGAGGCCTGAGGTTTTTATTAATGTGACAGCAAGTGCGGGGAGAAGATCCCCAGCCTACTGTCACAATGGGGGATCAGGGGTGCAAGAGCTGCTGCAACAGTTGCATGTTATACCCTGATTACGGGTGTAACATGTAAGGAAAGATGTACATATCCTTTAATTCAACCGCTTTTAACCACCTTCCGCCCACCCTATAGTACAATGATTGGGCGCAAGGTGGTTCTCTCGTTCTGACAGGACGTCATATGACGTCCTACCATTCTCACTGCGCATGCGCGGCTCAGGCAGCGTGCAGCGCGGTGATCGCCGGTGCGCTGTGTCCCTCGGACACAGCGGATCACGGAAAGGAGCCGAAGATGTCGGCTCGGTCATGTGATCAGCTGTGTCCAATCACAGCTGATCACATGTAAACACGGAAATGCTGGTTATCGGCATTTCTCTCCTCTCGAGCTGTCACGCTGATAGCTCGAGAGAGGAGAGCCGGTAATCGGCTTTCCGCGGAGGGGACATGTACACTGATCATCAGGACACTGATGATCAGTGTGGCCCCAGAAGTGCCACCTGTCAGTGTGGCCCATCAGTGCCACGTGTCAGTGCTCATCAGTGCCACATGCCAGTGCTCATGTGCCACATATTAGTGCCTACCAGTGCACATCAATGCCACATATCAGTGCCCATCTGAGATGCCTTTCAATGTCACCCATTAGTGCCAGTCAGTGCCACCTATCAATGCCAATCAGTGCACCTATCAGTGCTTCCAATCAGTGCCACCTATCAGTGCCAGCCAGTGTCGCCTATCAGTGCCAGTCAGTGCCGCCTATCAGTGCCATATATCAGTGTTGCCTATCAGTGCCATATATCAGTGTCATGTTTCAGTGCTGCCTTTCAGTGCCCATCAGTAATGCCTGTCAATGCCCATCAGTGCAACCTACCAGTGCCTCCTCATCAGTGCTACCTATCAGTGTCCATCAGTGCAGCCTATCAGTGCCCATCACTGCAGCCTCATTAGCGCACATCAGTAAAGGAGAAAAATCACTTATTTACAAAATTGTATAACAAAAACTAAGAAAAAACTTTTTTTTTTCAAACTTTTCAGTGGTTTTTGGTTTGTTTAAGAAAAAATAAAAATCCCAGAGGTGATTAAATACCACCAAAAGAAAGCTCTATCTGTCTCAAAAAAAAATCTAAAAATTTCATATGGGTACAGTGTTGCATGACCGCGCAATTGTCATTCAAAGTGTGACAGCGCTGAAAGCTGGAAAATGGCCTGGGCAGGAAGGGGGTATAAGTGCCCTGGGCTAGTGGTTAAAGATGACTTGTGGAATTTTCATTCCTTCCCAGACCCCATATACATTCTTTTGCCTCATCCCCTGCCTTCCTTAATACCTGACTAATTTTTTCATATCCACCACCCACAACACCCTTCACCACTTCTGGTCCAATAGGTGCCAAAAGACCTTTCTTCCTCCACTTCTTCTAACACTTAACTAAACCTGTCCCTTTCCCTTTACCTGCCAGCCCTTCTGGACAATACCATAAACCAACAGATACCTGGTGCCACCCTATGGCCCAACTCCTGTACCCATGCCATTAACATAAATGTACCCTCTCAACTATAACCAACTACCCCCCTTTCCCAACCACACACTCCATACCTTCCCTGGACATTGCACCTCTCTCCCCATTTCATTCTTCCCCAGCCCCCAGCCACATATTTGGTTTACCATTGCCTCTTCTTTAAAGTACTATACAATGCCATCCCCAAAACAACTGTAGCCCTACCCCTGAAGGCATCACTTGGTAATTTGGGTTCTCTGTTCTGTGCCTCAATTCCAAGAACAACCTCAGGCCCGTCACATCTCCACTGTGCACCAACATAAAGAGCTCCATCAAAGTTGACAGAAGAGTAATTTCCACATTGTGTGAAAGGTCTGATATGGGACTTTTTCCACTGTGTAAAGGAAAAGAAACCCTTAAAGCACTGGTTCTGGTTACTGGGAGCCCACAAGCAAGATAGTCTGACTTTCTTGATCTCTCTCCTTTTCTGCTCAGTAGGAGAGCTCTGATTAAAGTCCTGCATGACCATTGAGACTACTTAAAGTGTGATTGTACTGTATTTTATTGTTTATTTTTCCTGGTAGTTCATATATCTCACATCAATCATTGATCCATCATATGTGTATCTTTGCTAATATGGCTTCAATACAGCTTAATTTGTTATTTATCACACACTATGTGGTTATTGTGTGTGTTTATCTAGGGGAAATCTCTGATTCAGGTCTTATGGTGGTGTCAGCAAGGGGTTGTGCCAGGGCTCAAAAAAGGAACGGAAAACTCAAAATACTTAGCAGCTCCTAAGAGGGTAGCATTACAGGGGTTTATTTTTTTAGGGCACTCCTACATCTGCTTGGCTCTCCTAGGCACCTGAGTAGAAGCTCAGCCATCCTCACCATTTGCAGCCTCTCATGGGAAGCCAGCTATGTAACATCAGGAAGTCACACCTGGCTTCCCACAGTCAAGATAGTGGTGCCGGGGACCTGAAGACTGGAGAAGAAATGTCAGCAGCTACAGTATTTTTTTTTTTCGTTTAAACTGAAAGTTCCTCTTTTTTGCTACATAACTTTTAAGTGTGAAGCCACACCACCGTGGCCCCTCAAGCTAAACTAATGTGTTTCTTTGTTAGATTTTATGTCAGATTACAGCAACGAAACAGGATTGCTGGTAGGCTACAGTGTGTTTTGGCTCTGTAGTAAAAAAATAGAAGGAGGTGCTCCAGAGCCAGTGCTTCCATTAGGCAAACTTGGGGGTCACCTAGGGCGCACTGCCACCAAGGAGCACCTGGGCACAGCACAGGCCAGCACTCTCTCTATGTGAGCTTTCGCCACGTCATGAATGATCCTTCATCTGAGGGGAGGGGCAGCAGAGGGGAGGAAGAAAGGACAGAGGAAAATTCCCTCCTAGATTGTAAGCTCGAAAGAGCAGGCCCTCGATCCCCTCATGTTTTGCATTGTATTGGTATTGTTCTGTCACATGTTCTGTCGCCCTTTGTAATGTACAGTGCTGAGTGAACCATTGGCGCTTTATAAATACTGTATAATAATAATAATAAATGCCAGTTGTCTGAGGCCAGTGTGGCAGCTGAGCTGCCGCTCCTTCCATCCTTCTAGTGTTCCTCTTAGACTCCGTCCTTTACTGCAAAGTGGCTGGCTGCTGCTGATCATTGTGGTGTTCCAGCCCTTCTCTTCCCATTCATCAGTGGAGGCGGAGCTGCACCTGCAGAGGAAGGTAATGTCTGACTCTGATGTCTCATGTCTGTGTGTGTGACCCAGGGGCGGACTGACCATTCGAGCACTCGGGCACTGCCCGAGGGCCCAGGGTCAGTAGGGGGCCCCATAAAATGCCCCTGGTACCTTTTATAGGCTTTTTTGGGTGTATTTTGAGTGTGGGCAAGGACACAGGGGCCCCATGATCCCCAATTGCCCGGGAGCCCCATGAGTTGTCAGTCCGCCCCTGGTGCGACCTGATCATCACAAGCCCACAGCCTGCTCTTCTAGTGCCTGCTGATCTGTGTCAGTGTTGGTGGTGTGTTGTGTCAGATCTGTTACTGTGTGGGATCGCTCAGTTCAGCTGCCTGCTGTCAGAGTTTTATCTCCCCCCATTGCCTGGGGAATTCCAGCCTGGGATCTGTCAGAGTGTGAATCCATCATCCTCCAATCACTGCAACTGTCACCCTGCCACTGCCAACCACAGATACGTCCGTGACACTGATTTTGCCTTTTAAATTGGTGCTGGTGGCATCTTATGGCACATATTTTTGCAAATTCAAAGAAATTTAGCAGTTTTGTGTTTTGTTGATTTAATATTTTCTACTGTTTTTTAAAAAAAAAAAGTTTTTTTCTTTTTTGGGGGGGGGGCATAGCTGGTCTTGCCTAGGGCGCAAAATAGTCTAGCACCGGCCCTGGGGTGCGCTCTATCATAGATTTACCTCGAGAAATTCGGTATCATTAGTCCTGGTATCCAGCAGCTGATTTGCCTCTGTATGATATTTGTTTAGGTCCTGAAGATGTTGCTGTAGAAGATGAAGATGGCCAGAAACCTGGGCCAATGCTTCTTTCTCTTCATACCTTACAGACTCCACAACCAGCTTCTGACATTCCTCCACTGTTTTCCGCACTTGGTCAAACTTGGTCATCACTCTGGACACCAGGGTAGTATGGAATTCCTAAAACCAGTAAGATTGAATTTAGACTCTTGGTGATCTAAATGTTTGCAGCTGACCAAACTTAGAGACACTGTCGCCAACTTAAAAACATGCAAGTAAAAGCATATAACGAAATTAAAATGCTTAGCTGCAATGCTTATCCTTCTCATAAACAATTTCTATGTGCCTATTTGCCTTTGATCTGGCTGAGTAATTCAACCACTCCAGTAAGCACAGTTACAGTCCCTTCTGCCTCCTGCCCTCTCATTTTCTTGGAGTGTCCAAAATACTATCTGTGCTGGTCCAGCTCCTCTGCTCCTCCCCTCCCACCATAACCTTTTATGTAGTTGCTAAGAAGTTAAGGGGTCTGCTGATATTGCATGAAAGATGGCAGCACACTGCGTCAGTCTCCAACCATTTAGATGTCTACATGAGGTAGGCTTTTACAGCTGGAAATCTGTACTGTGTGGGGCTATCCTGTACTATCAGGGGTCTCTGTAATGCGGGGGCTGTGTAATGGAGAGGTTGGGGGCAGGTCAATTTTGGTTATACAGCTGTGGTATCCACCCCTGAGTTCTGTTTGACTTGTACTCCTGAACTCTGTACGTTACGCATTCCTGAACCGTGGGCCTTGTGTAATATGAGTTCTGAGCTCTGACCACACCCGCCATTTAGCGTGGCATGGCGTGCTGCGTGCACCGCTTCACTCTTTTCCATGCTGTGTGCACACTCTTTACTCTTTTCCACTCGGGGAAGAGTTGACAGGGTGATGTGAGTACCTGCACCTCTTCTCTGAGAAAAAAAAAAAGCCCTATTTACTAGGGATGCCCCGAAATTTTGGTGGCCAAAACGTTTTGGCCGATATGAAAATAAGCACCAATATAAAGGCCAAAAATAACCCCGCCCCTTGCTGCACCCCCGCTCAGTGGTTCTCAGCCTTACCTGAGAAACCATTGAACAATCCCGGAGTAGCGGCAAGATGAGTATCCCATGAGAATCAGTATCCCCTGAAGCATCTGTGCATGTGCCGGCTGGGCATAGAGATCAGTGAAGGAAAGATGGCCTCCACTTATCTCTATGCCCTTGGAGGACCGGAGCAACGTCACTACATCACTTCCGGGGCCTTGTAAAAAAGGACTTTTTTTTTTAAAAAAGCACTAGATCAATGCTTTTTTGATCTAATGCTTTACATTGTAGAGGAGAGATGTGGGGTCTTATTGACCCCATATCTCTCCATAAAGAGGACCTACCACTAATTATTTCTATCACAAGGAATGCATGCATTCCTTGTGATAGGAATAAAAGTGATTAAAACATTTTCTTTAAAGCAACAGTGTAAAAAATATAAAATATATAAAATAAATGAAAAAAAAAAAAAACTTTAAAATGCCGCCCCCTGCTTGTGCGCAGTAATGAACGCATATGTAGATCACGCCCACATATGTAAAGGTATCAAACCACACATGTGAGGTATCGCCACAAACCTCAGAGCAAGATATTTCTAGCACTAGAGCTCCTCTGTAACTTTACACTGGTAACCTGTAGACATTTTTAAAGTGTCACCCATGGAGATTTTTAAGTACCATAGGACGCCATTCCACGAGTGTACACAATTTTAAAGCATATCATGTTGGGTATCTATTTGCTCGCCATAACATCATCTTTCAAATTTTACAAAAAAATGGTGTATATATTGTGTTTTTTTTCAGAATTAACCACTTCCCGTCTGGCCCATGTACATAAACGGCCGAATGGGGGCAGTGCCGAAGCGGGTGGCATTTTATAAACGGCCCCTCGCATTCACTGCCTGTGCGTGCTCCCTAGGAGCATCTTACTATTGCTGTTGCTTGTGTGGGTGGGTGGGTAGTATACTTCTCTGATGAGGGATTGGAGTTTTACACATCCCACCCACACAAGCAGCAGCAGTAGTAAGAAGCTCCACATTGGGGGTTCTTCCTTAACCCCTGAAAAGCACCAGAAGAGTCCTGGAAACAGGGTAGAGGAAGATGTCATCTTGGATTGCAGCTATAGCCCAGTGACATCATGCCAGAACAGGTAAGATTTGTGACAGCAGCTTCCCTGCACTGCTTTACTTGAGACCATACAATGTATATAAAAAGTCTACACACCCCTGTTAAAATGTCAGGTTTCTGTGATGTAAAAAAATGAGACAAAGATAAATCATTTCAGAACTTTTTCCACCTTTTAATGTAACCTATAAACTGCACAACTCAGTTGAACAACAAACTGAAATCTTTTAGGTGGAGGGAAGTAAAAATAAAAAAACTAAAATAATATGGTTGCATAAGTGTGCACACCCTTAAACTAATACTTTGTTGAAGCACCTTTTGATTTTATTCCAGCACTCAGTCTTTTGGGTATGAGTCTATCAGCATGGTACATCTTGTCTTGGCAATATTTGCCCACTCTTCCTTGCAAAAACACTCCAGAGCTGTCAGATTGCGAGGGCATCTCCTGTGCACAGCCCTCTTCAGATAACCCCACAGATTTTTGATCGGATTCAGGTCTGAGCATTGGAAGGGCCATTCCAAAACCTGAATCTTCTTCTGCTGAAGCCATTCCTTTGTTGATTTGGATGTATGCTTTGGGTCATTGTCATGCTGAAAGATGAAGTTCCTTTTTATGTTCAGCTTTCTAGCAGAAGCCTGAAGGTTTTGTGCCAATACTGACTGATATTTGGAACTGTTCATAATTCCTTCTACCTTGACTAAGGCCCCAGTTTAAGCTGAAGAAAAACAGCCCCAAAGCATGATGTTGTCACCACCATGCTTCACTGTGGGTATGGTGTTCTTTTGGTGATGTGCAGTGTTGTTTTTGCGCCAAACATATCTTTTTGAATTATGTCCAAATAGTTCAACCTTGGTTTCATCAGACCATAACACATTTTCCCACATGCTTTTGGGAGACTGCAGATGTGTTTTTGCAAAATTTAGCTGGGCTTGGATATTTTTCTTCGCAAGAAAAGACTTCCGTCTTGCCACTCTACCCCATAGCCCAGACATATGAAGAATATGGGAGCTTGTTGTCACATGTACCACACAGCCAGTACTTGCCAGATATTCCTGCAGCTCCTTTAATGTTGCTGTAGGCCTCTTGGAAGCCTCCCAGACCAGTTTTCTTCTCGTCTTTTCCTCAATTTTGGAGGGACATCCAGTTCTTGGTAATGTCACTGTTCCGCCATATTTTCTCCACTTGATGATGACTGTCTTCACTGTGTTCCATGGTATATCTAATGCCTTGGAAATTCTTTTGTACCCATCTCCTGACTGATATCTTTTAACAATGAGATCCCTCTGATGCTTTGGAAGCTCTCTGCGGACCATGGCTTTTGCTGTAGGATGCAACTAAGAAAATGTCAGGAAAGACCTACTAGAACAGCTGAACTTTATTTGGGGTTAATCAGAGGCACTTTAAATGATGGCAGGTGTGTAGTGACTCCTGTTTAACATGATTTTGAGTGTGATTGCTTAATTCTCAACACAGCTACATCCCCAGTTATAAGAGGGTGCGCACACTTATACAACCGCATTATTTTATTTTTTTTTTCTGTTTACCCTCCCCCCCTATAAAATTTCAGTTTGTTTTTTAATTGAGTTGTACAGTTTATAGGTCATATTAAAGGTGGAAAAAGTTCTGAAATGGTTTATCTTTGTCTCATTTTTTTTACATCACATAAACCTGACATCTTAACAGGGGTGTGTAGACTTTTTATATCCACTGTATCGGTATTTTACATCATTGCCCCCTGTACTGTACCATGCCCTCTGACTCTCCCCATACTGTACCCTTCTGCCCTCCCATACTGTATCCTACTCACCCCTGTATTGTGTTCTTCTACCTCCCCATACTGTGTCCTTTTGTTAACTCCTACCCCCGCTATATTGTGCACACCTGCCACTTCCCCATACTGTGCTCTCCTGCCCTCGTGTATTGTGTCCTCCTGACCCTCCTCCCCCCCGCATACTGTGCTCTTCTGACCCCAGTACTGTGCCTTGCTGCCCCCTGTACCGTGTCCTCCTGACTCTCTCCTGTACTGTGCCCTCCTTCCTACTTTGTAGTAACTCCAACTGGGCCATGTCTGCACGTAAGATGAACCAAACATTACGACCCACTCATGTTTATAAATTTTGTAATGTTGCTGGACAATTGGTTTCATTACCTCAGGACACCTCAAAAATATTCTATTATTTTTTTTATTATTTAAAGATTTTTATTCCAAATTATTGTTCATGCCCTCTTCCCCTGTCCCCCAAACTGTGATGTCCTGGTTTGATGGCATTTCTTTACCATCTCTTTCTTCATCCCAACAGGAAGTTTTAAGTGCAATCTGTACAGAAGAGGATGTTCTCTCTATTATGAAAATCACTTACCGGTAAATGCAATTCTGCTGCAGGGCAAGAAAGATACTTGGCACGATATTATAAGCAATTTGTGGCTCTATTGGTACCTCGTCTCACATACTTATACAGTTATATTTTACAAGGCTGTCAGTTCCCTGGGTAGATGTTGGGCAACATGTCACTGATCCCTAAGACTTCCACAGATCATACTCTGCCACAAAATCACAGACCAAGTTGGGTCATAAATAATGATCTTAAAATTTTCACTAGACTGTTGGAGTTGGGTTTCATCCCGAGTCACCAAATTACTGATAATATTTGTCTTGCTACCATTTTTATTCAAGATGCAAACTTGTTTTCGTGCAACGTACTGCTACTGAGCCTTGACATCTTTTGATAATATTCTCTGGCAATATTTAGAGTTTCTGTTACTGTGTTGTGGGTTCAAGCCAAAATTTCTGAACATCTTTAGGGCCTTATATAAATCTTCTTGTACCAGAATCCGCCTCCATGGATATAAATCCCTTTCCTATCTTGGAATTTAATTGCCCCATGTTGCAATTTCTATTATTTTTAAATTATGCCCCACTTTTGTCTAGGATTCGGGATATGCTCATGCTCTGGACTACCTATCCAGTCTTGTTTTTAAGCTGCGTTACT